AGAGCCGTGGACTGAAACATTTGTATCAACAAAATTAAAATTTACTAAAAGCTAAAAGAAACTATGAACATTCACTCATCTGCATATTTCTACCTTAAATTCTACTCTAAATATTAAAATATATTCTGCAGGGGGAACATACATATGTCTATGTACGCATGTATGCATGTATATTTGTGTTCATGCCCGCCGCACATTGTGATGCAATAAGGAGGTCGGTCTGCGTCGGCTCTCTTGCGAATTGATTCAGAATGGAGATGCAGCTAATTTAAGCATATACATATATATGTATATGTATATATGAATTTATATATATTTGAATGCGTTTGCACTTACCTGGGTGCCCCTCTCCCACGGATTCGGAAGTAAATAGGAATGTTTGCCCGTCTTCCATATCATAGGAATTGCCATTGCCATTGCTGCCATTGAGCCCGTTGACGCTGGCTGTGGAGTGTCCATTCGTCTTTTGTGGCATTTTGATTGCTGCTTCTTATTCGGTTGTTAAGTAGTTAAAGTTGATACTGTACAAAACAAAAATTCATTATAAGTTTGTTTTACAAAGAAATTGATTTTCCTAAAATCGAATGCAAATAAAATATCGCTGTCGCTTGTGTGCCACTTTTCACTTCTAGTACATTTACTTGTAGTGTGTAATTAATATGATTGTTATTTTTATATAATCAGCAAGAGCATTATACGTTTTGTCTTATGTTGTGTTTGATGGGAAGTCGCACAGACACCCACACACACAGCAGCAACAAACATGCTTATGTATGTACATGCATGTACGTCGATGAACAAACATACACACCGATAAACACGCGCGTTAAAGGACGCTACTCACTGATCAATGAAACTGTTATAATGTTCTTAGTAAAGCAAGCGGCACAGGTTTTGTCTCAAGTCTGATACCACTGAATATGTTATAATTTAGCCGACAGGCAGTCAAATTAGCGCAACTAACACGCACGTCCAATCTCGGCGACGGTATGGTAGAAAAAGAGCGCACAATTTTTGCCAGCTATAGAATTTATAGTCGTCAAGCGGGAGCGGAGACCGATGGCGGCGCCGTATGAGAGCAAACTTCTCTCTTCTGCTCTTTGTGGTAACACGAATGTATGTACGTATGTATATGTATGTTTGTTGCTTGTTTTGGCGCTCCTATTTGGAGCTGCAGCTACACTCAACTTTCCTACCGTTCTTAAGCAAACTGAAAGAGCATCTCCACGTTTTTTTACGGCTGTTCGCAAACAGCTGTGTTTGCAATGTGGTGGGTGGATTAGCGTTGCCACATTGTTTCAGTTTACATACACTACAAATATACTAACGCTTGCTATCCGCAACTTACATAAAAATATTAAAGTCGGGAATTTGAATTCGCCAAGCTTTGGTGTCGACACTTACTCAAACAGCGTCCAATTGGAACTGTTTTCTAACGAAATTGTATTTATTTATAAATATTTGCGTTTGAGTCCGGAAAGATGATTTGGCAAAATTAAGGGCTTATCATCATATTATTATAGATGTACTGATGAAACATGAGAACACCCTGATAATTTACATCTTTTACTTAACAGTGTAATTCAACTTTGAATCTCGTTAGTAGCAAAATAAGCAAACCAAAAACATTGACTAATTTTCAACAATATATGAACTGATTTTATTTATGTATTCAAATAAGTGGAATGTTAAAAAATACTTTTCAAACTGCTATACCGAATAAATTTAAGTCTTTTACAGATGCGTCACTAATAGGCACTCGACAACAATATATATTATTTTAAAATAACAAAGAACCATAGAAAGATCGTGTCATGCTAATCACAAACAAGGTCGGCCAAGATCAAGGCGTTCGGTAATCTGCTTCTGCATAATAAATACAAAAATCTATTGAAATAGCTGAAATAACAAGCTACATTATCTTCAAAAAGATGTTGACCCCCCAGATAGATTCGTAATCGAGCGAAATACCAAATATGTAAAAATAAAAAATAAAGACTAGTAATACTAAATATATACTAATGTTATCATCGCATGAGTAAATCGCCACCTTATATATGTAGCTTTTTAGCTGGGATACCCTTATCTTGTTGTTTAAAACCAGTGTGGTAAAGTGTCGGCAGTAACAGACCAAAGATAAAACAGCTGTTCATGACGTGTTTTTAGTTCGCTAACTTTAGAAAAATAAATCGCAACGATTTGCGTACCTGTGTAATTTTCTACAAAAATGAAAGGGAAACTACTGGCCTTGACGGCCGTTACTATATTAGTTTTCCTGGTGCAGAAAACTGCAACGTTGGACGCACTAAACGAGAGCACAGATGCCAAGGAACCTACCGACAAAATCGGAGACCCTTTGGAAACCAAAGCCCCGATACTTAATGCAACTTCGGTAAATAGCAACGTTAGCAACGTATCGGCTACTGCTAGCAGTGGCAACGTTTCGTCCATGGAATTAGGTTCAGCTGCAACCGTGCCGCACAATGTAAATGCTTCTAATAACGCTACCACCATAGTCACGGAACCATCCCTGATCGACCCACATGCCGTGGAGCAGGAGCACAATTCCTCGCTCTCCCTATTCTTTGTTATTTGTGTTATAATGCTGGGAATACTTTTGATACACTCGATGCTGCAAACGGGTTTCCAATATCTGCCAGAATCGATCGTGGTGGTGTTTCTGGGTGCATTCATTGGGCTCTCGCTGAATGTGATGTCGGCCGAAAATGGCAGCTGGAAGCGAGAGGAGGTCTTCTCGCCCATGGGCTTCTTCCTTGTCCTCTTGCCCCCCATCATCTTTGAGTCTGGCTACAATCTGCACAAGGGAAACTTCTTCCAAAACATTGGCTCCATACTGGTCTTTGCTATTTTCGGCACAACAATATCTGCTCTGGTGATAGGAGCTGGCATCTACCTTCTGGGCATGGCTGAGGTGGCGTACAGGTGCGTATATTTGATCAAGTGGATAAGAAATTGTTCTAATCGTCTCTCTCCGTGTAGACTAAACTTTTCCGAATCATTCGCATTTGGTTCTCTCATTTCGGCGGTTGATCCCGTGGCTACTGTTGCCATATTCCATGCCTTGGACGTGGACCCGATCTTGAACATGTTGGTTTTTGGAGAGAGCATTCTAAACGATGCCGTTTCAATTGTGTTAACTGCTTCAATAACGATTAATGCCAATGCAGACGCAGGCACAGGCGAAGCAATGATGAGCGCCTTGAAGACATTTTGCGAGATGTTTTTCGCTTCGGCTGGCATCGGTGTTATATTTGCCCTTATATCCGCATTGCTGCTCAAGCACATCGACCTGCGAAAACATCCTTCGCTGGAATTCGCAATCATGCTGATGTTCACCTACGCGCCTTACGTTCTGGCTGAAGGGATACACTTGAGTGGCATTATGGCCATACTATTCTGTGGAATCGTCATGTCACACTATACGCATTTCAATTTATCGACTGTCACGCAAATTACGATGCAGCAGACGATGCGAACATTGGCCTTTATAGCGGAGACGTGCGTGTTTGCCTACCTGGGCTTGGCCATCTTTTCATTCAAGCATCAAGTGGAGCTGTCATTCGTCATCTGGTCAATTGTGCTCTGTCTGATTGGTCGGGCCTGCAACATATTTCCTCTAGCTTATTTAGTAAATAAGTTTCGTGAGCACAAGATCAACAACAAGATGCAGTTCATCATGTGGTTCTCTGGCCTGCGAGGTGCCATCTCCTATGCACTCTCGCTTCACTTGCATCTTGATAGCCAGGATAAACGACATGTAATTATTACCACCACTCTGATCATTGTTCTGTTCACTACACTCGTGCTGGGAGGCTCAACGATGCCATTATTGAAATACTTGAAGCCCGGTAAGAAGCGCCGTGCACGTGGATCTGGATCTCTGCGCTCCTCAAGTGGTAGCTCACAGAGCACACATCGAAAGCGCAGCAAATCAGTATCCCTGTCAAAGACTCGAGAGTGGGGACAAGCCATCGATTCGGAGCACCTGTCTGAGTTAACAGAAGAAGAGGACGTCACCTTTACACAGGCCCGTGATCGTTTCGGCCGTTTGGATCGAAAGTACTTTATACCTTTCTTCACGCGCCGTTTCAACAGCCAGGAGCTGCACGAATGCAAATCCCAAATGGCCGATTTGACCAACAAATGGTATCAAGCCATACGAGTTAGTCCCTTGGACTCCGATGAGTCGGACGATGAGATTGGCCTATCGGCCAATACAAGCCAGAGTAATTTGACTCGATCCTAAACCTAAGATGATTCGGCTAAGAAGCTGGCTGTGTAAAACATTTGAGTGTCCAAAGTATTTGTGTATATTAAGAGCTATTCATATTTAAATACCATATAATTTTATTTACAAAAATTTCTACAATTTTATCTGTATGAAGGTGGCAGTCAGTATACGTCTATTCTCCTAGCAATTTATGATTTCTAGCTGTTGGGCTTTTTACAGTATTTTTACTTATGAATCGTTTTTAAGTCTGCCATTCTGCAAGGAATGTCAGTTAAAGCTTTATCTTTTATGAATATATATACTTGTTTTATTTTATGTTACATGTTGTGTGTAAAAATGTAGTCAAATCCAAATCAAAATATTTGTATTTTATACGAAATAAATTGTGATATAATAAATTGAAATTTATTTATTTAATTATTAATTCATATTAAACTTTAATATGAAATATGTATGGTTAGTGGTAATAGATAATACTTTGACCATGTTAGAGTTGCAAATTTGTAAATAATTTTATAGATAAACTCCAAGCTATTTTGTGTTTTTCCAAAAATGTTGCTTTTGAAGACCAATGTGTAGGGAAATTGGGGCGGCGTTATAAAATTAATAACTTTAATGATAGATCGACTTTTGGCCAAAGTAGGGTTATGAGTATGACGTTGATAAATATTTACTTACTTTTGGATATGTTTTGTATATAGTCCACTCCACATACCTGGGATTAGACTTAATTAAAACTGCATTTAAATATGACTTAAAATGTTTGCTTTATTTTACACGTTGTACAATTATTAGCACAAAATACATAATTCACTCGGTAAAATACAAATTTTTGAGCTGTATTCAGCTGATTGCGAATTGAATATACATATGCATGGGAATGGAAACACATACATACAATAAACTTAACTCAGTAATTTAACTTAATTATTCTCCTCATGAGTTTGTAGCATTACAAATCCATCATAATACTTTCACATGAGTAATAAAGAGTTCACTTTATATTATTTAGTTCATTCCTTTGCCTGGACGAACGAGCTCTAGTCTACTTGCTATCATTGTCTGATTTCTGTTCTGCCGTTTCGCTTCAAAACTGATTTATGTAACTCCATGGTAATCTTAATTATTTGAACTAGTGCTAAAATGATGTAAATCATGCAATGAATCCTGATACATATTCATATATATACGTATATCGGGTTATGCATACCATGTTCCTGGACAGACACATGACAGCATCAGTTTCATTGTATTACGAATAAGAATGGTGTTGAACAATAATAGTAAGGATATATATATAAAATGATAAATACACCCAAGAGTATTAGGCTAAAATCCCCTTCACCGGAATCCAGATATAATGTAGTTATATACAAGGTCGGAGTAAATATAATGCTAAGATATAAATGTTGACAATATTTGATACGAATTTTGTGCCAAGGTTCAGATTAACAGAGGGACACATCATAATAGTCGATAATAAATTTATCACAAATTAGAAGAAGCCACAAAGAAGAGTATTGTTCATCAGCTTAGAAATGGGCTACGCCACGCGCGTTCCACTGCCGCAATTTGGGGGACAATCTATTTATAATTACGTTAGTAACTTTTTCTTACTCTAATATTGCATTTTGAAAGTACTTATACGAATTTCCACGCAAGTAGCAAACTATAGGAATATACAGTACACATACATAAGTCTATCGTTAGGGAATAAATAATTTTAAGTAACATGTCCAAAAATATTAAATACATTTATCGACGCCCTTCAACAAATTAGCTATAGTATAAATATAATAAGATGAAGAACATTTTAAAGAGTGAATACCGTATTTTGGGCTATTACCTATGTCGTCCGACAATGAGCTCTAGTGCATATCCATAATTTTTTTGTGCATTGGCATCTTCTACTTATATCATAAGCGTGGCATTTACTATGATATTATTTCGATACATTGAACTCATAAGAATACCTCGGCCTTACGCCGAAGGCTCCTCGACTTCATTGTCGATGCGCGATGAGCGTATACCAGACTTTCCAGTCCATGGATATATGTCGGGGCAAGGCTGACAAGTCTTCATGTAGCGAACGCCTGATTTGTGCCATAGATTGCAAACCTTCGGATTGTTGCAACGCTTGGGTCGGTCCTGTATTGGCAGTAGGTAGATATTAGTTCAATTAACTGCAGCTCTCTATATAAGAGCTTGAACGTACCGAGTAGTCGCATTGGAATGGCTGGAAGGAATTGATTCGAGATGTTGGCGTCGGATCGCGCACCCATTGCAGCGCTTGCCAATTGGTAACGATCCAAACATCCGGCATGGCATTTATGGCATCAAGGAACTTAATGAAGCCTTCCTTGTGGTGCGGCTGTGTGAACCAAGCGGCATGATAGAACAGTCCAAACGGTGCTCTGTGACGAAAAAGTGACTTAAGCTTCGGGACCATGCAATAAAGTTTTGTCTACCTATTGGTGGTGTAATGACGCTCAAAGTTCTTCATTATCATTTTGGTGACTCCCTCCGCATCACTTGGATTCGAGCAGGCATCGCCCATAGAGCAACGTCCGCCATTCAAGTCCTGCCACATGACCATGGGCACTTGCCAAACGCCTGGATAGCTGCGCGTCGGACACGGCGGAATCATACAATCGTGGAAGATCTTGTAGTCCAGGGTATACGGCCACGAGGGCGGTCGGTTCTCATAGACCGGCATCGACGAGTCGTAGGTGAAGTTCGAATCGTACAGCATCTTATACATCTTATTGCCGCCAACTGAGAGGAAAGGGGCTCGCATGCCGCGCACATCCGACAGCTTCACCCCGCCATAAGCGGCGAGTATCTCCCGCTGGCCAGCTATCTCCCGGGTCCATTTCTTTTGTGAGAACTGCTCGCCAAAGCTGTGACTGTGGAGCGACAAACAAATGAGAATTTTAACCTCTGGCACCTTTCTGTTTGCCCGCACATATGTTTCGTTTTGACTTATTAAAGCACCGCACCCACTTGTATAGCATGTGTTCGTGAGTATGGTATAGAGGATTTTGGTGTGTACATATATTCTTATCTTGGTGTCGTTGTGGTTTTTGTTGTTGTTGCTGTTGTTGCTTATGTAGCCGTGTGTGTATCTCTCAAACATACAGAGAGAGATAGAGGGGGAGAGGGATGGTCGGCTACTTACGAAACTGTGTGCGATGCCATTTCGTGTCCATCGGCGTAAAGATTCTGCACTTGACTGTAATCAGTCCATTCGTGAGAGACGTAGAAAGTGGCTGTTATTGGGCAGCCATTGGGGTTGACGCGTCCCTTCTCAAAAAGATCCATATACAATTGCTTATTCAAATCATTTACCGAATCATCAAAGGTCAAGAGTACGATTTGGGGAATGCTTTCAGCGGGCAGTTCGCCTGGCAGTCAGACCGACGACAGTATTGATGAAATGGTGGATGATGAAATGTAGAGAAAACATAATACGATCATGAGGTGAATATAAACCAAGCATACACTTAGAGGCACATAAAAGGGACAGAAGTCAATGAATGCCGCATGTAACTGATGTTGCCATAATCAAGATGACCCGACAGAGGCGAAAATCGATCGCAACTTACGACACCGTGTGCGAAGCCATTTCATGTCCATCCGAGTACATGTCCTGGACCATGCCATAGTCCGTCCACTCATGCGAGATGTAGAAAGTCGCGCGCCAAGGACATCCATTGGGATTCTTTCGCGTCTCGTTATTCAGTAACTCATTATACAGATCGATATTAATCGTGTTAATCGCATCATCGAAGGTAAGCAACACAATTTGCGGGGTCACCGATACATTTAAGCCTCCTATGTGTTGTGAGGCATTGAGTTTAGTCTTAAATTGTCTTACAGCAGCATTAGTCGAAAGTCCGAAACTAATTTGCTCAGCACTGCCGGAAGGGTCAAGAATGTCGATAATTAGCACGCGAATACTCACCGGGTATATCCTTGCCACCGCAGTAGCAATCGGGCAGTAGACAGACATCCTTGCGGCACTTGGCTGCCGTCTTATCGGGCGTCGGCTGTGGGTAAATGGGATCCGGTCGGCTTGGCGGATATTTATAAATGTCCACAAATTCTTGAGCCTTCGATACAATTGTTCCTGCTGGCTTAAGGGTGGGACGTGTGCGCCTGGCGATTGCATAACATTCATATTATACTATTGTCTTTCCATAGCATGGGAGTAACTTACGGTGGATGTGTTCCCCTGTTTGGAGTGGCAACATCGCGATCCTGATTTGTGTATATAGCACTGCCGCGGTTTCTATTGTTGTTTCTACATGCGATTGTTTTGAAATAAATAACATTCATATATCTCATTTTATTGAAATTAGTCAACAATTAAAAAGTGCGAAATGCCAACCAATTATTTTATGGTCTATAGCTACACAAATAACAATACAAGGTAAATAATATTCAGTTAATTTATGTTAATTGATCACCTTGCCACAACCATATATAAATTATAATTAATATTAATATGTATATATATATATATATATATATATATAAGTGTAAGTGTGTATGTATGTATGTACACGTAAATTCATATCAGCAGCCAATTGGATCATATAGTATAATAATAAGAAGAACCAAAAATTGAATAGTATACTTATGTGTCTGTGTAGCGGGATTGGGCTGTAAACCTAGGCTGAGAACAATAGATGGATAGAATAAATAAATACAGTTGATATTTATTTGATTTGTAGATTGCTGTAAAATATATAGTTCATTCACACTGACATCATTCGAACAGAACGAGTGTGGGTCGGAACAGCTCAACTTCATTGGCGCGAAACACATTCGAGATTTAGTGCAGATTTACATAAGACCTGTTCACATTTCCCAGCTTTTATCAATGCTGAGTGTAAACACTGATACTAAATGGAAGCTCAGTAAAATGTGCAAGTGCAGTTCTATAGCAGATTTTTACAATATTTCCAATCGGAAGAGACTAGATATTCATGTAATTTCGATCCACATACTTACATAGAGTGGAGGGGCTAGATAAATGGGAATTTCAAACTTTGACATTTGAGCTTTGACATCATAATTTGTACATACATACATAGTTGTGGTATGCATTGATTATATTCAACTACATAAAATTAAAAGTAAAAGTGTTTGCCACTAAAATCATAGTAAAATCAATATTATAATAATAAAGAAAACAAAAGAAAACAAATGTTCAAATAATTATAGAGAAAAATATATGAAAATTATACGGGCCACCACCCAACGATTACGATTTGATTTGATTACGTACTTATGCTCACCGTTCTGTATTCTGTACATTGTTGCAACATTTTACAGAGCAGCTAATATTTAGTATCTAATTATGTATCTTTGCACTAAATGTCTACGAATAATGTAAAGAGGCGAAGAGCTATGCAGTTGTAAAAGTGATCTAGGCATTATAGTAGTGGTCAAGAAAAGTTTTAACAGTTTTCCTATTGGTTGTTTTTCTATTGACTAAGATTTAAAGCCGTAGTAGAAAGCCAACAAACAACCAGAGTTCTACGAAAGTGGGTGAATGTGGGTAATGAGGAAAGAGGACTACGTAAAAGTAAAGTTCTGTTGGGTTGGTTTTAGAGGAGACTAGATCTGTGTTGAAAACAAAATTACGGTGAATTTGTATTTAAAGAGAGGAGAGTGATAATGCACAGGTACAGGTACAGGTACAGGTACAGGTACAGGTACTGGTACAGCTACTAAGGAGCGTTAATTAGAAATCACTATTTATACCTTGAGGGGATTTCGTTGCACTTGAGGTTCAGTGTGCTATCGGAGCACTTTACCGAAGCAGCAGCGACCGCGGCATTGGCATTGGCATTGTTGTTGTTGAATTGGTGTTGTTGTTGGTTGTTGTTGTTGTTGTTGTTACTGTTGGGTGCAAGGCCATTATGGAATTTATTAGCTCTACCCCCTGGCATTTGATAGGTGGACGGGGTAGAGACCGGGCTAGACGATTGGGCGGCAGCAGCGGCAATAGATGACTTTAAAGCGTTATTAACCCTCGAGATTCGTGTTGTTGGCGGAGAACTTAATAATAGAGAAGGGGTGGCAGTCGTGGTTGAAATGTCAGGTGTGGTGCTAACAGCGGGAGTGCTACTAGTTACTGCTGTGATTGCTTCAGCATCTAATTTTCTAAGAGTAGGGGGTGAGGGGAACAGTCTGGGCTGGTTGCCTATGGGCTTAGGCCCAATATATGGGGCTCGTGTGCTTGGCAGTGGTGCAGAAATAGTAGTAGTAGTAGTAGTAGATCTCATTGTAGCTGTAGCATTCCGGCCGGCTAATTGAACTGGTTTTATTTCGTTAACAGAAGCTTTGATATCTGTTCCGGAATTTTCATCTACGAATTGTGGCGACCCGCTCTCATCACTATCGCTGATAGAAAGGAAATGCTGTAGTTGCTCCAAAACATTTGTACTTCGGAACTTGGGTCGACCACTGCTATTCTTAATATAGCCAGCGTTCTGCAGACTCTCGGCTAGTGTGCGCTCTGCCGTTTGCTGCCGATATTTGTTCGAGTACAAGTACTTGACTGGTGGCTGGTCAGATATAACAACAACATCTTCAATGGAGCTAGGAGATATCTCTGTGCTGACGGTCTGCTCTATGCTGTTGTCTTGCTTAACATCGAGTGGTTGGCGGGCAATCAAAGCTTCGGCACGTGGGTTATCCGCCGTTGCGGCTTCATTTTCACTTGGGTTATGTTTGGGTGTAGTTGTTGCTTCGCTAGTTGGCAATATATGGGATGATTGGGTATTCTGATACCTGTCGACATTTTCCTTGGCCTGTTGAGCAGCCTTGTATGTTTCGTATTTTTCCCTTGACTTGGCTGTTGGCTCAAAGATCGTTTGTCGATTGTTGGCGACTCGTCCGCGAAGCATCTTTCTTCTTGCATGTGTTATAGATGAGGAGCTTCTTGACTCATAAGTGTGGGGTATTTTGAATTTAGGCGCATACGTGGTTGGCTCGTCAACACTATCCACATTATAGTTAACAGTAGCCGCAGTGTATCGAGACCGGCCACGTGGACGCACAGGAACTTCCGACACTTGAATTGGGGGCGAAGTAACTACAGAGGATATTGTTGGCTCTACAATAGTAGTACTCAATGCTGCCTCTGTAGGTGATTTATTTAGGGTTGTCGTTGTCGTCGCTTTTGTAGTGGGGACTCTATTGAAAACAGGTCGTTGCGGACTGAAGGTACTTAAAATAGCATCACTTATGCTAAAGTTGCGGATATTTCCGTTTGCCATTGTATCCAGAACGAATTGGGTTGCGTTCTTTTGGAGGGGGCTGGCAGTAACATAGCTCCTTACAGGTTTTGGTGTTGTTTGGAGAAACGGTACGGAGGCCGCGTTTGCATTTGCGTAGCGCGCTCTAGTAGTTGTTCTGAGACTGTTGTGGGGCAGCCGTTCGTCCTGGAGCAAGCTTTCAAGGCTTTTGTACGGGGAAACAAATCGCATGGCAGGGTTACTTGTCACGCGAATAAGATTGTCTTTAAACAGATTCGCACGAGCTGTAAAACTCTGCCCATCGCTCGATCGTCCGGTACTAGTATTTGAACTACTGACGGCCTTTGTTGGAGCTGGCGAAGTTAATTTAAATGTGCTGCTCGGCAAATCCGTGCCACTTGCTGTAGGGATTGTGGTAAGTCTGCTAGGTGCTTGCTTAATAGTTGGACGACCGTTGCGCCAGATACGCAACGGAGCATATGTTGTCGGAATAATATCGTAATACTCCACACTCATGTGATTAGCTGATGTCAGTGGCAAACGGGTTGTAGTAGTTGTAGTAGTAGTAGTAGTAGTAGTACTAGTAGTTGTTGTTGTATTGTTTTTGAAACGTTGAGCACTATCGGGGCGCTCGAACAGTGGCTCGGACACGTTATCCTCATTCAATGATTCTTTAGCCGTCAAAGTAAACCCATGTGATCCGCTTTCAAGGCTGTACTCGTACGCCTTGTTGGGTCGCGTTGCATTTGTGGTCTCCGACAGTTCAGATGACGCTTCCTTTGGTGCGTTCTGGTTAGTGGTTCTAAAGCTCTGAGGCTTCACATCAGATAACACATAGCTCTGAATGCGTTTGCTTTGAGTTTGCTCTGTGGATAATGCCTTGTCTCTTTTAAAGTCGTTGTAGATGTTATCCCTTACGTAGGCGGCCTTTGATGCCTTTCCTGTGGGCGTACGGACCAAGTTGCTGGCTCCATAGGCTGCGGAATTTATGAAATCCAGAAACTTGGGCGAAGTGCTTGTCTCATAAGCATGACCGCTAGGTATCTCTGCTGTGTGGACTTGCACATTTTTGCTCTCGTCGTAAATTGTCTCAACATACTTTTCAGTACTACTATTTGCACTGTCATTTGCCAACGCCCACGAATCACTGATTGAAGGTGTGACTGTAGACTGGACTTGGGACGGAATTTTGTTCTCATTGACACTTTGGCTTTGAGTACCAGACACAGCACTGATCAAGGACTTGGCCAGAAACTGTAGCTTTGACTTAAGAAAGGGATTGGAAGTGTATGTGGGGAGGGCTGAAGGGGTTTGCTTTGCTGTGGTGGTCGAGAGAGCTATTGTTGTTGTACTGGATGGTTGTGTTGTACGTGGTGTTGTGGTTGTCTTTAATTTGATTATAACATTTTGCTTAAAGTTTTTATTTGCATGCGCTTTTGAGCTGTTGAAGAGATGTGTATTTATAATAAACAATCACATTAGTGTTAGTATAACATCCAGTTCGTTTTGTTGTGTATATGTAAGGGTGTGTGTGTATATATAATATAATAAACAGCATATCTTAATCCTTTGGCTCTGATTGATTATTCGACACTAGTCGAATTGTGATTCACCGAAGCTAAGGTGCCTATTACTAAATAGGCACCTTAGCTTCGGTGAATCACAATTGAAGATCTTATTATTAAACACATGCCATGCGAATTTCATAACATCTCTCATAGTTAAAATACATGAATACATATACATATGTATATTTATGTTTTTGTGTAGATATCATGCAATGATTTCGAGCTTTCATATCCTAAATAGTTTTCTCTACAGTAACAGAGAACACAAAAGAAATTAGTGGAAAAATAAGTGTGGTTACAACCAGTCTGAATAGTGAAAAGGAGGAAATTGCGCACATACACGTTGAATGTGTGTGGCAGCTCAGGTAAGATAAATCAATTCGATTTGATAGTAAATGTGAACTAATTTATGTTTTTGTAGCTTAACAAACTGATGATTTGCTTATATTCGATTATTTCGAAGCCGATTAGCCGATGGCAAGCCAATTAATGGCTATCATAAAGAACTAGAAGGCTCAGGCAGGTCTACGTATGTGAATATGAGTACAGCACTGACTTATCGGGGGATTGAAAGTACCTTGAAGGTTGCAATGTAGTTGTAGTTGTAGTTGTTGCTGGTGTTGTTGTTGTTGTTCTTGTTGTAGTTGCAGGGGGCTTTGTGACTGGTTGTGTGGTAGTTGTGGTAATCTTGTTTGTATTCCTGCTTATGACTGTGGATGACTTTAATATCGGAAAGCGTGTGGGTGTCACTGTCGTGTACTTCTGTATACGATCTGTTTTAAAAGCCGAAGTGGACTGGCCGACGTCGTTGGCAATCAGATAATAATCGTCTGATTTAATTGATTTGGGAGCTTGAGTGCTCGGTTTAGTCTTCGATGGTGAAACTCGCTCGCTCTGATAATAGTCCGCGGGTAAATTTTGGACGTACTCTGAAGAGCTGGAATAGCTGTAATCAGGCTCTTCATAGCTCATGTGGGGCGTGGTAAACGTGTCATAGTAGTTGCGCACATCAGGTCTTTGGGCCGGATTTTTGGTTGTCGAGACAGTGGCCCTTGCCTCCAGAGTTTGTATGGTCACCTCTTCGGCCCTGGTAGAGAGATTTGTTGTAGGTGGGATGTCGTCGTTTTCGAGATGAAATTGTATGTAAATTTTGATGAATTTCGTGTAACGTATAGCTGGTGTGAGTTGTATGGTGTGTATGGAGTGTACTTTTGTCTTTTGTACTTTACTTGGACATGCTAGCTGCCTTTAATCAACAGTATTTTTATGTCTGTGAAGCTTCATTCTTTCAATATACTAACTAGTTGGGACACATACTTATATACTTGTGTGTTAGAATTTTCCGCGAGCTCGTTAGCGTGTGAGACATGAATTGCTACAAAATTTCAGTTCGAATGCAAACGAGTGCAAACGGCCAGAGACTACTTACCGTTGTGGAGGAGGCGTAGGCTGGTCATATACATTATCCTGCTCGATCTGTAAAACGATTCGTTACGACAATATGATTGAATGATCTACTCTTGTATACACATGTATATTCGAATGTGAGTGCGACCCCTTTGCCTACCTGTGCATTAAGGTCCTCTTCATAGTCCGTGTTATAGCTCAATGTTGGCTGACTGTTGTAGCTCTGCCTTTGTGGCGGTGTCGGCGTAGTCAATATCTCCAAGGGCCTATAAGTTGATTGCTGCTGCTGGCGCACTGGAGGCTGATACTGCTGGGGCTTTTGCTGATGTTGGTGCTGCTCCTGCTGCTGTTGATACTCAATATCCCTATATAAATCAATATCGTCGTCGTAAACAGAATAGTATGATGAATCATAGGGGTTTGGTAAGGCAGGTGCCTGCTCTTGTTGTTGTTGTTGTTGTTGCGGTTGTTGGAATGGTGACGGTTGTTGTTGTTGCGCCTGCTGTGGTGTTTGGTAGCCACCCCCATGATTGAATATGGATGTATTGTAGTAGTTACGATTGGATGCAAACTGTGCCGGTGAAGCTTGTGAGCTTGGTTGGACAAAAATGTTATCGGAAGTTTGCGCCGACAGCGACGATGACGGCGAAGATGACTCAACTCTTTATGCACAAATGTGGCGCAAGTTATTTACATTAACGAGTATAATTTAATTAATTTAAATTTTATATGTCATTATAAAATACAAATGTGTATGTGTGTGTCAGGCAATGTAAGTTTTCATATTTTACAGGGGGAGAGAAATGTAAAACAAAAACAAAAAGTAATTAAAACGTATAATTAGAATACTTCTGTACCTATATTATGAGATCATTTAGTAGTAGTAGTAGTCGAAGAAATGAGTTATAGCAGATGAGTTAGCGGTTGAAATTTTGGTTAGAGTAGCCCAGTCCCTACACAATAAGTTTAGTCAACTGTACAGATTTGGTAAGTTCCATCCGTTTAGATTTCTTAGTAATAGGTAAAAGGTCTGAACGTAAACGTATAAACAGTAGCGCCTGTGGGCAGTGGCATTAATGTTTTTGTTTTTATGTACATTTCACTGCCGTATTTATGTGTATTTGTGTAGCGGCACCAAATAATTGAACAGCACATTGGTCGTCGACTTTTATAACTACCTTTGTCTTTCCGTGTTTGAAGTGGCATGTACCGAATTCAAGTTCTGGCCACTTAAGCCATTATTGCTAGTGCTGGTTGGCTTGGTGTAGGCGGCCCCTCGGCTGGGTTCATTTTGCGTGCGCTCTAATCCGTCCGGATTACTCTGAACTTGGGACTGCCATTTCTGTTGTCCACGCGTGCGTTGTGGTCGTACAGTGTACCGGATTTTCGCCTGAGGTATAGGCGTCGTAGTGCTGGTAGTTGTAGTTGTGCGAACTCGGGCAGTGGTATGAGTGCTGGGCGCGGCTGTTGCCTGCAACTGTGGCAGCCGCTGCTTCAATTCCTGAAATATGTCACTTGGGAAACTGATGAACGCTGGAACTCCGTTGCCTGCATTGGGTTGATTAAGTTGCGTGAAATTAGGAAAGGGTCGACGCGTTGTTGTAGCTTCCATAAATCCGGTTTGTGGATTGTTTCGTATTTTACTGGCTGTCGTCGAAAGTGAACCCTCCGTTGTGACTTGTGGACGTGGTGGTGCCATTGTCTCCGACATGGGCATGTAGGGGGGCATGCGAGATGGTGGGAGTATGTCTTCATCAACTCCGTCATCGTAGTCCTCGTCATAGTATTCGACTGTTTTTTCAGTGGTAGTGGAAACTCTGCCCGAAGTTATCCTAGGACGCGTTGGACTGGTGGTCGTTGACTGATTTGAATTAGACGCTTGTTTGCTTATCTGGGTTTGAATACTCTTCACGAAAGATTCGTAGCCTCTTAGAATAGGCGTGGTCGATCCTTGGGTGGTTGTGCTAATTGGCAGCCTCGTAGGTACCGGGCTTGATTTCAAGGGAGGTCTGGACGTTACTGGACTGGATGGCGTTGAGCTAATGACAGGTCGGCGAAGAACCAAGGCATTCCGAACATTTCCACTTCCATCATTGCTTACCTGCTTAAAATATTTGATTAGTGGGTTGACAGCCGGATTAAAACTTGCTAGATCACTGGCTTTTAGGTTTGCCATAAATTCATTTATATTGAATTGAAAATTGGTCTTCTGTGGCTTGGTAGTTGTTGAAGGCTTAGGTGGCTCCGGTTTGGGGGGCACCGTAGAGCTGACCGATTTGGTAAAAGTCTGATACGATTCCGGCAGGGTAGAATTCGAAGCGTAGCTGATGCCCACTGGCAAATGCGATAAATCTCGGAATGGTACTTCCTGCAGACCGTTCGAGTTTTTGTTAGCCAAATTGGGAGCCGAAACAATATTGAAGTTTGGCGTCACGTGCACTGGTGTGACTGGTGGACGAACTTTGAAGGCGGCGTGCTCTATTTGATTAAGCTTGGCATTATTGTAAACGCCCTTCATTTTCTGATTTGCGACAATATTATATTGGAAGTAATTGCTCTCTGTCGTGCTTTGGGTGTCTGGACTTTGAGCAATGCTGAACTGAGATACCAGTTTGCCAGAATAGTTTGATATGCTCGGCGTAAATTCCGGTTTATTATTATAAAAGCCACCCATGGTGCTGTATTGAGCGTAATGGTTGCTGGGCGTAACTTGTTGACTCGGCCTTGTTGTAGAATAGTACTCGAATGATGGCCGTTGGGTTGTCGAATGCGCGGTGGGACTTATCGGTTGATTGTCCAAATGAAAGTAGGCAAAGTTTTCAGCTTGGATCTGTTTCCTGCGCTCCTTAAGCTGTTTCAGTTGCTCTATAAGATAAGGAAGTAGGTCGCCTTGGCTCGTTTGTTCCGGATGACCTCCTGGTGGCCTTGAGCTTGTTAATCCGGCCGCACCATAGTAACTACCTGCAATCGGTCGAAAGTCGTCTTCCAATGGAGGCGGCGGTAGAGACAAATTATAGCCGGTGTAAACCACTGTGGGTTTTTTCCCATATGTCGAAACACGTTCTGGTTGTTGCGGGTGTTGAGGCTGCAGATGTTGTTGTTGTTGGAGGTAAGCCTTATATCCAGTGTTAAGTTGATTGTAGTTCTGGCTGGCGGGAGTGTGCTGGCTGGGAGGAGTTAGATAGGGATTGTAGCTGCCGAAACTGTACCCGTTTTTCCCAGCCCCATTGTAAGGCTGGTGAACTGGACTGTCTATAGAACGATAGTTATGCGTTGGCCATTTAGCAGGCGTATGTGGAAAAGGGCGCAGCTGACGGGCACGTCGCTTGGACTCGGCCGTTGCAGTATCATCGCTATCTTCGATTGGTTCGCTGTTGTCTGAGTCCGCCAGCAAAAAGTCTAATTCGGTTTGACTAATTTTTGATGAGTACTTTTGCAGCTGGACGACAGCAGGCGCTGCATCGTCGAACTGTTCTTGAGAGTTATTTGAGTTATTGGAACTATTGGAGCTATTAGAGCTGTTTGTCTGTTCGCCACTGCCCAGTTGCTCACTGCTGGCGCTGTCTGGCTCCATGACTTCGCTAGAGGTGTTCGAATCGTTAGGCATTTCAGTAGGGCCAGCCACTTCCGCTGGCGTAGTTGACATTAACCCACTAACATCGCGTCGTCTGCGTCCTCTGTCTACATCGAGTCGGTTATGTGACAGTTCGTGTTCAATTGTCACGTCGTCGTTTAAGCTTTCGCTGTTTGCGTACAGAGTTTAGCCGAAAAGCATTTGAGTCGATTGGTGTGTCAATTGAAGTAAAATATAGAGATAGTGCAGTATGCATTGTATGAGAAAAGAGAGTAGTAAAATGGGCGGAGAATAAATTTCAGATCAGTTATGAATTTGTTGAGACTAAAGCAAAAAGTAAATTACCATCAATTAAAAAAAATAAATACAATTTTGAAAGCGACTGCAGATGAAACAATACTATGGATGGGGAGGCAAATCGGGCGCAGAACTTACCTGTAAGCCGTCCCGAACGTGTAGGATCCGATCTTTCCGTGATTTGGTATTGCATTTATGCTGGCTTGGTGTAGAATGCCATCGCGGTCCCGCTGCACTTGGCTAACAGTACTCGGTTGGCCACGATAAACACGTTGCTGACGCTCGCTGTCCTCCTCTTCGGGCAGAGTTTCATGCGCCTCGGCATAGAGCTTCGTATACTAAATATGAATTTAAAATACACCAACGACAATCGATTGGCCTTGGCTCACCTTGGCAATTTCCTCCTGCGATTCCAGAAGCGACTTAGGCTGTCCTCGGGACGTGACCACTGGGTTGGGAGCAACAGTGAGCTCTGGAGGTGGTGGCAGATGCTGAACCTGAGCCTGGATAGTCTGGGGAGGTGAACGATGGTATTGCGGTGGAACTGTGACTGTTTTTTGTGTGGCCGTGGGACTGGTGAAGGCGGACCCAAAGCGAATGCGACTGGGAACATGTTGCTGTGCCTTGTTACGTGAGGCACCACCTACTTCGGTAGAGGTTGCCGACGTGCCACTGTCCACCACTTCGCAGCCTACATTTCTGGGCCAATCACAAGTCTGCAGTTCGTGCGAGTACATCAGTCCCCCAGTGCAGCTCTCAAGTAACGCACCACCAAATACGCACACATAATACTGTGTGCAGTCCGAGGGATGGGGATAGTATCCGAACTCTTCGGGACAGTCAAAGTTGACGCCATTGGAGCTAGCTGACTTCACATTGGTGCCAAAACTGCGAGAGTTGGTGACGCGTGGAGCTCGTTTGCTTTGCGCATCTGTTGATCCTGCAAAAACGAATTCGTCATTCAAATATCAGAAATCATTCTACACAATCTACTTTACTCATTGCACACATTCAGCGCAGCAAATATTGTTTGAATTACCTAACCTGAACACACTTCTCCATTTGCGAACAGAGTACAAAAGTTGATCCACAAGTTGATCTACAACCTTTTATGCAGAAATCTAGTCGCCAGCCCACACAATGCCATTTATCGTTAGGAGAATATTAACAAAGTATTGAAACTGATTAGGTATTCAGACAATTGAAGCTGAATTTGAATTGGGCCCGATTCGCTGCAATCAGAGCTATACCAATTTTGAAATAAAAGTAACTTGGCCGAGACAGCCTCAAGCCAGCAAATGGCACGACCAACTTGAGCGGCTCACCCAAGGCATGGGCGCAATGCAATAATTGGGGCGGAAGTTGTGTTTACTTTATTGCTTAGCATTTGAGGCACATATCTGGGTTGCAATATTTCTGTACTGACAGCTGAAACCACAGCTAATAAATTAAATGAATTGCAGTATTAAAATTATGCAAGGAGCTCCGCTGCCGCACGATATCAGTCAACCTTCGATTTTCAAATGGGGCTTTTTGGCTTAAAAACCTTAAGCTTAGAATGTAAGCCAGAGTAGTATAATCGACATAGCTTTTTTAGTTGTTTTTTTTATACCCTGAACCCATTTTCAATGGGAAATCAGGGTATAATGGTTTTGTTGAAATGTATGTAACAGGGAGAAGGAGGCGTGGCAGACCCCACAAAGTATATATATTCTTGATCAGGGTGACGAGCTGAGTTGATTTGGCCCTGTCCGTCTGTCTGTCCGTCTGTCCGTCTGTCCGTCTGTCCGTATGTATGAACGCGTCGATTTCAGAAGATATAAGAGCTAGAGACTTCAAATTTTTTTAAAATGTCCGTAATTACAGCGCGCATATCAAGTTTATCATTAAAAATCGATAACTCATCTCGATCTTTTTTTATCGATAAAAAACCTTATCGAAACCCAGTTATAAAATTATATCTTCTACACCTTTATTGCTAGGGTCTCCAAATTTTTAATGTATGCTTATATGCAATTTATACAATTTCGGTTTTTGTTAAAATTTACCCCCACCTCTAAATTCGCCCCCTCACCCTCACTTTTGTAAAAAGCGTATTTCAAATACTAGAGACTTGTGCTTTGGCAATTACATGCATATTCATGTTATAATCATATTCTGAAAGTTTCATAAAGATCGTACGTCCATAAAAAAAGTTATTAAACAATTAACTTCTCATAGTAAGCGCACACTGCAGCCCATGCGTGTTTATGCGTGGTTGCTTGTGTGTGTATGTGTTTGTGTATGCGTGTGTTTATGTGTGTGTGTGTATGCGTTTGTGTATATATGCGTGTGTGTGTGTAAGTGTGTCTGTATGCGTGTGTGTGTATATATGCCTGTGTGTGTACGTGCGTGCGTGTGTGTGTGTGTGTGCGTATTACTTGTGTAAGCTGAAAGTTGCGAAAAATGATTGAAATATCTATTGCTCCAAGGGTTCAGGGGATCTCGTAGTCGAGCAGTCTCGACTAGAGCTTTCTTACTTGTTTTTTTTTTTTCCAATTTAATAGCTTTTATTTGGGACACTGTGGCTTGAGTCTGTACCCATTCGTTTTTTTGACCCACCTCAATTGCCTCACACACAGACATACACAGAGGCAGGCGTCGGACTGCAACTAAACATTATTATGCTATACTTTAATTGTAACGTGAGCATTTTCAAACAAAAACAAGTTATAATAACGTGAAGTCGGGCTGCACTTTTGACCAGCCACAAGGCGGCGTAAGGCACCTTAAATATATTTTTTTTGAGTAACATAATATATTTTGCTTGATAGAGACACCTTTTCCCAAAACAAATTTACATTCACTTTTTACTTTTCCATTGTTCCCAATAACAGTTTCTACGCCAGATAAGGCCTTTGGCGGTTGGCTTTTCGTCATTACTTCAATTGACTGTAGATGAATTGTTAATTACTGTTGACCAATAATAATATGCTTCTATATGCAACTAGTTCAATATACCTACTCTTCTGATGCCCAATTGAAAATAAAGAAAATTGGCTTATCGAAGTATTGCAAGGGGATGGGACCGATGACCGATGAGGCCGACCCTATAAATGCAAAGTATTGTTGATCCCATTTCGGTCAGCTGATGCGAGGCATTGTTTCGAATAACAAATGAGGATGTGCGAAAGCTCTGCAGGGTTTGTTTACGTTGTGCGCTCTCAAGTGCGCATTCTATTTTGCTTGCACATACATGTTTTTCTAATGGACGTCACATGAGCAATCATGTCAAGGCTGCTGGATAAGATCTGCTTAGCATGCAGCACGCACCATAGCTTGTATAATTATCACACAAAAGCGTCGTTGCTTTCAGTCCCGTCTGACCCACTCTTTGACTGAGTGATATATGCGCTATGGCCACCAGTGCCAGCTGCAAAAGTAAGCTAATCACGTGCCAATGCAAAAGTCTAGTGTCGTCGTAGCCTAGGATGACATTTGTCTTGGCCAGCCAGCCGCCAGCCAGCCAATCAGGCAGCCAGCTCCAGCTACAACACACTTGGTAACACATTTGCCGATTCATTGTTGCCGTTTGTACTTTCTGCTCCACTAAACAAAATGTGTACGTGGATTTGCTTAGCTAGTTGCTAAGAGCATGGCTGGGTTGTGTTATGCAATGCACAGTAATTCGGCCATAAGCCTGATTGGCTTTATTTTTTTTTTTTTTTTTTTTTTTTTTTTTTTTTTTTTTTGTGGGTTTGTTCAACGCTTGTCGATTTCTTCGCTTTTGCTGCTCTACTTGTTCAAAAATAAGAGCAACACATTACGCGACTTTTATTGAAAGTTGAAGTACTATACAGCACATAAAAAGGCAACCTGACAAATACTTAGACAATTTGTATAGCGGCTACATAATATCTATTGATACGCTTTTCTGTCGATTGACAGGAATTTATGTGGCTTTACTACTTCCGGGCATTAAGTCTGCTATTGAGGTCATTAGCTTATTAACTTATTTCTACTCGGTCTGCATTTCCGAGTGCTAACTTTATAAATACACTTATTAATTGTTAAATTAAAAACGTTTTCAGTTCTGCAATTGATACAATTTGTTGCTGAATTTCAAGTATTTTGCCAATGGCTTTATATTTTTAATTAATTTTTTTTCCTAATTGCGTTTGCACACCTCGCATTACAAATTAATAATGATATCTCCTGCCATCGAGTTTGTGTTTGTTTTCTTGTGTCTATGAGCTCGGTAGGTGCGGCCCACAATTAAACGCACGCTTCGTAGATGGAAAACAAGCACTGGTCAGCTTTCAGTTTTTAATCGATTGCACAATTCAACGAGAAGGCGTATCGGAGACCTCAAGGCAAAATTTCGGCGAACAGACAAGCTTTACTTCATTTTGCCGTATTGCTATTTCTTTTGTTGCCAGCATTGGATAGCGGAGCGGCGATTACCTTGCGATCGCTTTGCATGTGCGCAGGAAGTTTGGGATCGTTAGTTGAGATTTTCCTTTCTAAAACCGCCGTTACAGTCAACAGTCACTTCCTGGGTGCGCAGCCACGACAAATGGCTCAAATACTATTGCCATCAGAAGCTGCCAATTGTTGGGCTTTTGACGATTATATTCCAAATCGAGTTGGGCGACATAAATTTACACTAAATTTGTTCACACTTCTATGAATGTAAAGAAAAAAGAATTCGCACTCGAAATATGAGCGCCATAAAGATTCAGATTAAACGTGTTCGCAATAAATTTCTCAGCCATTTTGTGATAGCCAATAAATTACCTTATTGATTTGCATCTCGCGGCGCATTTTGCTATAATTAAAGATTTATGCGCTCGAGAATCGCCAACATCATGCATAGATGGGTTGCGCAATGCGTTGCGAGCTCCTTAGCCTTTTGAATGTCGATAAATAACCATAAGCCGACAAGTGCACTGCGCCGAGTATCCTATCTTTGGCATTACTTCTACTCAAACAATTGTCGCAGGCAACGAAATTAAGTGACTGAAGTGCTGAAGTGCTCGAGTGTACCGGCCATGCCTTCTAGCCACTGTGGTGCTGTACAGTTGCCATTCGTTTCAATACACAAAATTACTCTGATATGCAGTGGTATGTGCCGAGCTCAAAAGTGAGAGCTATATTGGAACCCACTATTTTATGCACCACAAACAGGAAATATACAACTATGCAACATTCGCCAGCTTTTCGACTTTTCCACTTTTTGCTACAGTTGCTATTTTTGCTACGGTCAGCTGTGGGCCCCACTCAAAACATTGGCTACACTAGAGCCGTATACATTTTTGGCAATTATGTAACATGGCTCCTGGGCAGCATTGACACATATAGAAACTATCAGTTTGTCCAAAATTTGTTTTATATGAACTGCAAAGAACGCATATACATTTAAACTAACAAATTAAATTTTTTAAGAATGGCAATATTAATGGCCTCAGTAACGTACGTTACGTTCAATTTGACAATAAATTTACTTAAACAATTTGTCGTCTTTTGGTTTAATGCCAATGCTACTTTAATGAAGATTTATTTTGGCAGTGTGTGACGATTTGTTAATGAGTAAGCTTAACGTATTTACTGAAATATTTCGAAAAATTCTTTTACATGGAGACTCACCGTTTTAAAATGTGAATACACATTGTTCAAGAACTATCCCTGAATTTGATATAGGGAAAATCATAGAGACTGAGAATCTTATGTTCAAGATTTCGAAGTATTTTTTCTAACTATGTACTTGTATAGATAGATATATTCACACTAGTATGCTTCGATTAAATTATTTTTGGTCACAGTGAATGTTGCCGAGCAACGCCAACTTCGACCACAACAAAAAGTAAAACACAACTAGCACGAAAAGTGGGTCAAACTGAGAATATTGCATAAGATGTAGACACAACACTCACCAACATACATACATACACACAGATACAGAGACAAGCTATTTGAAATCTTGCTGCTAGTTGCAGCAACTAGACCACGCGACGTCGACAGCCAAAGCGACAACGGCAACAGCAACAGAAACAGCAACAACAAAAGCAGCACAAGCAACACCACCAGCAGCAGCAACAGAAACAGAAACAACAACAGTGGCTCAGTGTGGCGCAAGTCTTGCAGAGCACATTTAAAATGCGGCAAGCCACGCCTGTTTCAAAATCGATCACTTTCGCATACCAGTAAATCGAAGCCAGGCAGCCAGCTGGTTGGTGTGCCACAGCAAGAGCTGCAGCAGCAGCAATAGTTTTCGATGTGGCTTGCTACTTTATACGGTGCAGTGTGCTGGATGGTTTTTCAGTTCGAGTGTCGCATTTGCAATGTCGGATCGGTGGACGGCTGCCTCAAATTGGTCTTTAGTCTCCACTTGGGCCATCGCATTGCAGCGTTGCTAATGTCACTATTTCGAGAGTCTACTATGAAATCTAGATAGACTGCGATTATGAGAGTTACGCTCGATCAGTCACATGTAAATTTCTTCAATATGTGTAGAGCTTTCAGTATGACATGATATGATTTATTAAATATTTGTGTCTATTTAAATTTTGATATCTCTTTGAGATTCCTGCAATGCTCTATTCCCGACTGATCTGAGGATTAACCTCAACCGCAAATTCTACAGAGGTCAATGCATCGCCAGCAGACCATAAGTTAACCGTTCAGATGGAGCCGATGAAAGGAAAGATGAATAATACAATTACAAACTCGCAGACTGTGACAACCAAAATTTACATACAGAAAACAATTTTTGCATTTTCCAAACAGCCAACAAGTTTAGCATCATCAACGGACAGCAGATACTACAACAGCCGTTCCACGTTCCATGTTCCACGGCCGTGACGCTCATTTTTCAGTTCAATTAAATTTGAAAGAAAAACGCCCCATTGACTCCAGCGGCAGAGAGGTCAAGGTGCTCATATCTGTCTGTGGTTGTTGCTGTCGCTATCGTTATGGCTCTGGCTGCTGCTATGGCCTCTTCGCTGCCGCTGACATGGTTGATGTTACCAATGCTGCTGTACTTATTTTGGTGAAGCATTTATTATTGGCATTTTGCTGAAACGCCGGATGCTGCTGAATTTCAAATGTAGATACATACATACGTGGGTGTATTGAGATAAATCATTCATTTAATATTGCAATGACAATGATATCTGTGAAGACTAAACTCCAATTGTCGTTTATTTTGGAATTAAAAAATTGTGGCGCACAATTGGAACACTAATACAAATCAACTGATCTCAGAGAGGTTGATGATTGTCTTCTCCAACTGTCACTGCAATTCGTAGCGAGTGGGTGTCAAACTGGACAGCGTTGCTTCAAATACATATATGAAAACCGGGTACATCTATGCGTTTGCTTTTTTGAAGCAATTGCTTTCGCAGGTGCGCGGAAGTTAGAGTCGAAGTCAGAGTCTGAGTTGAAAGTAAATGCAAAAGTGGTAACACATAGTCAAACAATGGCACTTGTATTTATAGCATCTATGTCTGCGAATTAATGCCATGAAATACATTCTCAGCGAATAAAGTTATTGTTAGAGAAAGGGAGAGAAGGAAAGAGACCAAAAGAGAAGGAAAGAGACAGAGCGGGAGAGGGAGAGACAGAAAGAGAGAAAAGTAAAAATGAGAGAGCGAGAGAGAGAGAGCACTCTCTGATGTTCGTTAACAATTTCCCTCAATCTTAACGGTCACAATCCCAGCTTTATTTCTAGTGATTATTTATGCCCTTAACCTGTTAATGCGAGGCGTTATTAATACTGAAATTGTTCAAATAGTTTTTTTCATGTTAGCAAAGCTCAGACGTATCATTTTTACCCGATTGCTCTGTGCCCTCTGCTCGTTCCCCACTAAGCACAAGAGTGGGGATTTTATGGTTTGCAGCCGTTTGAAAATTAGCTGCGGCCACTGTCGCCGTTAATTTTGTTTACAAGCAGCGTGTCAATATTCGTTGTTGTTGATCTGCTTGAACTTGATTTTTATGAAGACTTGTGTGAAATAAACTTAAGATGTTGGCTGCCGAAAAAGTGGAGGCAGCACTTAACGCTAAAAGATACATATCTTTTAAATGGTAGCATAACATCTATTTAATGTTTACATTTTTGCTAAAGACAATGGCTGGAAGAAAGGGTAATTATACAATTTATTGTTGAATCATACCCATATAATCTTAATTGTTTTTCTACACTATAGTGGTTATGTACTACTGAACATGGAAGAGGTTAACTTATATGTGCATATGTTTACACTTTCACTATGTACCTATGCACAATTCAATGCTTTGCGCGAAGGCAAGGCCTGATTGACACCGATTTTGAACTTATCATCGGACCTCACTTGTACTCGTCCATACCACGCACAATTACGTATTCGTATTCGTATTCGTATTGGTATTCGTATTGGTATGCGTATTCGAATTGGAGCAAACAAAGTACGAACGTATTTGAAAGCAATAAAAAAAAAAACATGCGCGTTGAATTGAAAGCATAAAATCCTCTGCTTTGAAAAGAAATGGCGATCGATTGTCGCTGCTCGAATTAGTGCGCATCTGCCAGCGAGATGAAAGACCAACAACAATTTGGAATGACTGCAAGATAAATGTGTGTGCTCAAAACTGGATCGTGACTGATGTAACATATTAGGCACTTGATAGTGCGTGGCTAGGTTTCCACTGCAACTGTTCTCGAGGGCTGAGATTAAATGATTGCCGGGTGCAGCAAATATGGAATATATTGGCGCAAAAATGTATTGTTATGTAAACATAGGCTTTAGCATAAGAAATTGCATTTACTCCCGTTGCACGATAGTACAACTTCGATTTTAATTAACATTCCCCAATGGCTTTAAATATAGCTTGGTTCACGTTTAGACAGGCATTTGAATTGCAAATATTTTCGTATTTCACGCAGAGTGCACAAAGAGTCGCATTGTCAGTATGCATTTCTCATGTTGTATATGCAAAAATTCAAATAATTTGCCTTCACTTTCCGTTGTCCTCTTCAAAAGTGCGCCACACGAACGCCACACGCCACACAACTTATAGTTATTCATTCGTAGTTTCCGTTTTCGATGCGGAACTGCATGAAATGCAATTAAATATATTGCCCTCTGTATAGCTCATACCGCACTGTAGTTACTTTAGTTACAAATCCATTGGCAACAGGTTAATCCACTCCTTACTCTAAATACCAAAAGTCAAACAAAGGCGGCACCCAGCCATATAGCACCCCCAAATTGAGAGAACGAATAAACCCTCCAACCCACGCCCAACGGATTTTGCCAAGATGCAAGCGCTAATGCTTGGTAAAACTGTTGTTTGTCTATACTCCCATATACCCTGTTCGCATGCACAACATCGACATCTGAAGATTTGGAATATGATCAAGATAAGTAACTCCAAATAGGTCGATTGTTGTCCCTAACTACCCCAAATGTATGTAATCTAATATTTATATGCTTCAGCCAATACCCATAATATCGGAACAGAGTAGTGTATAGTCAGTCAGCCACATGTTAAAGTATGTGTTCGTTTATGTACTTCAACAAGAAACTTGCTGACTTGCTGACTTGGCATTAGAACTGAAAAGTGAGCGGCGTACTTGTCGCTTGCACGACTTTGTCCGGCTTAGCGTTAGCGGATTTGGCAGCGCCAACATTTTGGGTGTGACGTTGGGAAACAATTTCAATTCAAATATATATTATGTGCAATTGGAAGTGGATCAAATACCTTAGATATTGTTACCATTTCTCATTGTAATGATATGCTGCTTTAAATCTTAATAATTCGAGAATATTAAACGGAGAAAATTAACAAGTCTTACAAATTTATAATTAGACCAAAGAGTATCGACCGATTCACTGCTTAATTTACAAGTCAAAATGGAGTGTGAATAACACACACAAAAAAACAATACAGCCGGAATATCATTTGCTAGTACCCGGCCCAGTGAATTAAATGGCATTTTAATTATGTACGTTTTATTCGGTTTGCGTTCTCAAAGCTGGAGCTTTAAACCCATTCAGGGCCATTAAACGCCTCAATAAGACAGCTGCCGCCTATTAAAGGCGTACAGGCGCGACAGTTGCTGCTATTGCGCATGAGTCTGACGCCAACAATCAGATAAAATGCAAACCAATTATTATTTTCAAGTCGGTTGGCAGCAGACCTAGTTCAGATTTGTACTTGAAATGCAGTTAAAAACGAAAAACTGAAAGGACTGAGTACAACTTTTGAGGTAAACAAAATGCCCCTAGAATAGTCTATATTACTAGAATATTAAACTTTAGGTTCTGCTCAACATAGACCACCCAAGTAATTAAAATAAAATCAGAGACAGAAAAGCGGATATACATAGCTCAAAAGCAAGCCCCATAAGAGCCAAGCCCAATAATTGGTCATTGTATTTAAATTAAACTGAGCAATATAAGTAATTGCAAAATTAATTAAGCAAATTATTTTCAAAAGGCCTCTTTCTAAAAATATATTGCAATCTAAATCCATCCATAAATGGTCATTTCGAAGTGCACTTAACTCCGAAAAACGGATGACTCAAGCGACAAACTTAGTATTCAACATTAAGAAATTCCATATGTCCGGGTGCAGTCAGCGTTCAGCAATGAGATTTTGAGCGTTGTACCGCATGTCTTTAGCTGAAATTGGCAAATAGCCTTCACCTTTTCGTCACTTACTTAGACAAGATAGCCGAACAATGAGTTACCATATTTGACATGGAATCAAGTATGTTATCAAAGCAATCGGCAGCTGAACTCATCTGGGTCACACTAAGCAAACGCAAATAGCTGATCCTCAGACATTGCACCTAAAGATTTGAATGCTCCCACAAAATTTTCAGCTAATAGGTATATCTTATGGCAAGGAAAGTGGCTACTTACTGGTTGAGTTGAAATGCACGCTTGGTATGACCGTTGCCTAGCACCAGTCTGCAGTGAAACAAGCCCCGCCTGTTTGTCGGCTTTGTCGTTGAACTTGAACAGGTGCCACGGATATGGCAAGTAAAAGCAAAACAGCAAAACAGCAAAACAGCACAACAGCAAAATAACAAAATTAACAAAAACAACAAAAAATCCTCAACACTTATTCAAAAGCGAAAACAACGTTAAGTAATTTTATTTCAGAGATATGTGGACTGAAGTCTTTTAGTTTACTTCACATACACACCGATTTCAGGCCTAAGCTTGAATTCCATTAGTTCATAGACTCGGACATCCCAAAGCATTACACGTTACAATTATACCCAGAACAAGTGGAAAATAGGGACTCAGGGCTCAATGGCTTTGTTGTAAATATCAGACAACTGATTCGGGACAGTTAGTTTTTCATGAGCAGGGACATAGCTTTGAGACTAAATTACAAAGCAGCATAACTTATCCGAAAAGCCTTTGAGACCCAATACTTAAGACGCTAATTGAGTTTCCTTGTAATACTAATGAAAGGGCAATTCCCAATAATTAATGCTTATTGCAAGGGCCTTGGAAACATGTAACGTTGCATATTCCGAGATTAAGGTAGCTACAGTGCCAAGCGACGAGAAAAAGTCACAAGACAAGGTATTGCAACTATATCGGTATTTCTGCAACGCGTTTTACGTGTGGGGACAATCAAAATATTTCGCGCAACTTAATTAAAAAATTACCAAATTTTCATATTTATAACATACTTGATAACTGCTTTTACGATGTGTGCTAAACGTTTGTGAAATATTTAAACAAATTACTCATTAACTCGGTGAAATTCAGTTGTCACACATGTTTTTATTTTCACGCGTTTCATGTTTGTTTTGATTCGCTTATGAAACTTTTTGTCGTAGTCCATTTTTATACAAATCTGTCTAATAGCCAACGTAAGCATATGAATAGCAAAAACTATTTAGTAAGCGCTAAGTCAAGCAACTAATTAAAAACGGGGAAAAGGCACCGAAGTCCAAACACCCTGACAGAGATAGCTTTTTATATCAAATGCCAACTACGATACAAGCAGAGAGATAAATGTTTACATCATTACAGAATTTTTACATATAAACTAGAAAATTAGGCATTCATTAATTATAATTATAATGCCTTTGGCAATGGTAAAAATGCGGCTAACGCTGCTTGCTAATTAAATTCAAAATGGCAACATAAAACACG